ATGGATTTTATCTAATTTTTTGTTTGATATTTTAAAATTTCAAAAATTATCAAATTTAAAAATAAGTATCAAATATAGCTAAAATATTTCTATCAATTTTAATAATGCTTAGCACATGCATAAAGCGATCTAAGATTTAGCAATTGCAAATTAATGAAGAATTTAAATTACAAATTATGGAAATAAGAACTTTATTAAAGAAATATTAAAAAATATTGCTAATTTCACATTTGGAATTGTGCTAATTTTAATTGAGTGAGTTTTTTTTTAAATACAAATAATTAATTAAATTATAATTTAAAAAATGATTGCATAAAAGTACATTTAAGATTTTTACATTATAAATTTAACAATCCTTCTTCTTTTGTTTGCTTTTTTGATTGAATTTATTAAAAAATAATTATGTAAATTAGCATAAAGACATAAAATTACTATTAAAACATTTATACTTAAATTTAACTAACAAAAGAATCAAAAATTTGTAAGAATTTTACAAAATGAAATTAAAAGAATTTTTCGAGAAATTTTATAACTTCTTTAATTAAAAAATGATTAATTAGCTCATTTTGAAAAATTGCAAGAACAAAATTTTTAATTAAATTTAATCTTTCAGCTAGAATGCATTCAAATTTTGGTGACAAGTGGGTCTGAATTGTTTATAAATGACATTTTTTTTTGATATAATATTGTTTTTTAATTATCAAAATTTGATTTGAAATTTTTTGAACTGATGAAATTACTAATAGTACATCTGTATGCTTTAAAATTTGTAAAATTATTAGTGGTAGCAATATATCATATAATATATCATCTAGTGATAATGATAATATCATTCATGAAAATTGATCAGAAAATACAATTTTTAATTCAAAAAGCAAACAAAAAATTCATTAAATCAATAATTTCTTTTTACATTTTTTAAAAAGTTACTTATAGTTGTAAAATTTAACACAGTTTAATTTATTTTTACCAAAAAAGAAAAATAAAAGTAAACAAATTTTGAAATGTTCATCAGTAAATTTGAAAAGCATACGACAAATATTTGAAGCATTATGCAAATTGTTCATTTGAATATCTTTTTACATCATAAATTTCATTTAATTAAATTAAAAAAAAAATTTAATTCAACTTATTTTCAAACTACTCTATTAATAACTATTATTTGTATCGTTGCTATAATAATTCAATTCTTAATAAACTAATAAATTTAATAAATAAAATATGCAAATAAAGCTAAAAATTCTTTTTTAATATCAATAAATTATGCAAAATATTGTTGCACACTTTTTTTTTTTTCTTCGTTTTGCTTCAGAATATTAAATGATTGTTTGATGGAATTTAGGAATAAAATTTAACAATTTGATGAATAAAAGCAACAATTTGAAGTATATTTAAATGAATAATTGTCATTGTAGAAAGAGCAAAAAAAAAAAAAAGAAAAAACACATCAAAAGATTTATTATTACTTCTTTTCTTACTTTTCTTTTTTTTTTTTAACTGTGACATTTTTAATTCAGAAAGCAAACAAAAAATTCATTAAATCAATAATTTCTTTTTTTTACATTCCTTAATATCTAACAAATATTTCTGAATATTACTTATTTATAAAGTTTTTTTTTTTTTTTAAATTAAATCGACATGTTTATATTATTAAAAAAAAAAAAAAAACTTGAAAAAAGTTTGCGTATAAATTTGTTCAAAAATTTTTTGCTTTGATCAATTTACCAAAAAACATTTTGTAACATTTTGAAACATTTTGGAATAAATTTTGCAAGAAAGTTTTCGTTGTAAATTATTTCATATTCCTTATTAAATAAAGAAAAAAGAAAGAGAGAGAGAGAGAGAGAGGAAGAGAAAAAAAACTTGTTTTTAATTAAAATTTGATTTTAAACAATAATTTATTTGAATTTGGATTAAAATATAAATCAATTCGTAAAATAAACATTCAAAAAAAATGATTCAAAAATTTTTAATTTAAAATTTTTTCTACATTGATAATTGAACCATTTTGATTTGAATATGAAAAAGATAAAATTAAGATTTTAAAGATATTATGTATATGTTTATATAATAATATTTTATCTATTTACTTCAGTTATTTTTCCTTCTGATAAGACAATTTATCAGTTAGTGTCCACTTCAGCAATGATTATTTTATTTAATTACATTATGCAGAATAAGTTTGAATAAGATATTAATGAAATTTGTCATTTAGCTTAGTCAAATATAATTTGGAATTTGTGTCACCAAAAATGATACATAATTGATAAGTTTGTCAAATTAGTGATTACAAGCTGTAAAATTTTTGAAGACTAATAAAAGCTTACATTCTGCCAAATTTTCTAGGGAGAAAAATGCTTTTTGAAATGGTTAATTTTTTTTTTCTTTTTAAATCTAAATCTATGAAAAAATTTTAGAAAATAACTAAAACAATAATTGAAAATATTTTTATTATGATTAATTAAATCGCAAAATTTTTCTGTTTCAAAAACAAAAATGATGACGTTATCATGCATTTTTTTAGCTTTATTTGCTAATTAAAACTTTTAAATCAAAATTTAGAAATGTAAAAAAAAAATTCAAAATATGATTGTTTAAGTTTTTAAAGATTTGTTTGAATTTTTTTTTTTATTGTTCATATATTTATCAAATATTTAATATTTTTGCAGATTAATTGAATTTTTTTTTATTATTATCTAATATGTTGAAAATAATCTAGTTAAAAAAGCATAAATTTATTTCAAAAAAAAAAAAATAAACAAATGATAGTTATTAGACGATCTGTCTTTTAATTTTTGAACTCTTTGCTTTGAAAAGTATTTCATTAATATTTTATCACTTTTTATACTATTAGATTTACCTAATTTTTTTTTTCTTTCCATCTAAAAGTGGAAAAAGTGAATATTTGAAAAAGAATAAAATGAGTAAACAGTGGTTTGGTTAGTAGTTTTACTTCCCCTAATTTCACTACATACCCATATTTGTCATGATGCCTTCATCACTATTATTCAATTTCCAATTGAATTACCTATGCCTTACACACATGCCTCAAGAGCTTAATGGAGCATTAGTCTTAGAGGGCAGTAAGTAAGCAATAGACGATGTCTTTAAATATTCAACCAGATGGGCTTGACATTAGCTTAAGTACCCTTGTATTTGGTGATCCCTCCTATTTACAGCATACTGCTAAATTTTGCTATAAGCTTTTTTCCTCTATATCAACTTCTTTATTTTTATTGCTGCTTTTTTTAAGTGGAAATAAAATAAAAAAAATGATGACAGTTGATGTTGAAAGTAAAAAGAAAAAAGAAAAAAAAGAATTCACAAACATTTCATTTATTTACGCAAAAATTTCAAAAATTTTTTTTTTTTTTTTAATAATATATTTTGCCTAAAATTAGATTAGGAAAAGAAATTATAGTAATAAATAAAATGAAAAGTTTTAAATAAGTTAAGAAAAAAAATTTATAGATGAAAAATTTAGAAAAATTTTTTTTTTTTTTGAATGAGCAATACGGAATTTCAGTTTTTTTTTTGGCCGTAAATTTCATTCAAAAAAAATGGATGCATTTTTTCTCTTTTTTTTTTTTTTTAGCAATTAGCAATTATTATGTACCATAAATTATTTGTAAGCGTATTTTCAAAAATGGAAAAAAAAAAAGCAAAGAAAACTTCATTTTCAATTCAACAGAAATCATTGCAGCAATCAATTCCATGGAGGAAATGTCTTCCTCCATTTTCTAATTTTTTTTTTACGATGAAACAAAAAAGGGAACGGAAAAAAAAGAAAAGGAAAGAAAAAAAAGTATATAAAAGAAACATAATTATATTTAGAATTGGCGAAAAGTTTACTGAAAAGTTTACGAAAAAAAAAAATATTATCCAAATATTCACTTCACACTTCGCATTTTCGTTTTTTTTTTTTCATTTTTAAGATTAAATATATTTAAGATTAAAATTATTTGTTGAAAATGCAAATTTCTACTTCATTACATATATAATATTACTGTTTCGAATTAATTATACCAAAAACATTAGCATTAATACTTAAAATTATAAATGGAAAGGATCGATTGACTTTTTAGCAAATCATTAAAAATTTCCGTTAATATTATATCTAAAAGATTTTACAGTAACAGATAAATCGCTCTGCTTAATTATTATTGTTTGTGATAAACAGCGGAAACATTAACGAAATCACTATTTGGACTTTAAAATATAAAAAGTTTCAATTTACTACCAATTCAAGATAGGTAGAAGATTAAGAAATGCACTTAAGATGTCAATAAGAGCAAGGGTAATTTTCTACGCCAACAATATTTTGTCTTATTTGCTTACCTTTAAATGAACAACTAATAAAGACTTGTTCTTTGGTGGTATCTTTCCTAGTCTCTAAAATTTATTGTAAAAAATATTGAAAAATATTAACAAAACACTGAAAAAAAAGGAGAATTGACAATATTAATACAAATGCAAATACAATTAACACATTTAAATAATTCTAGACAGATAGAATGAAAATTTCAATAAAAAAAAATCAAACATATTTAACATACTTTCTGAGCAAATTGTTCAAATGCGGAAAAATGAGAAATATGAGCAAGAAGGCAAGAAGTCAATTTAAATAAATGACTCTGTTTGACAAAAATTCACGTCAAGCAGATAAATGCGTGAAATTACTGCTGTACTCAATATGCAGTAAGTAACTTTACAAACAAATTTGTAAACTGTAAACTAAAAAATTGAATTATATGTTTGGAAGCTTATCAACTAATAGCAGTTTTTTAGCTTCCATTACATATCAAACATATGTTTCATCAAATTCTTGTAATTAAAACGAACAATATTTACTCAAAATATTGAAAGAAAAAAGAACCATTAAAAAAAAAATCATTGAATGAAACATAAGAAAATACGTCGCATCCATTTGCCTGAAGAGTAGATTCAATGTACAAATAAGGAATAAACAGATACGAAAAATATTGAAAGTGGAAATTTGTTTATCGCTTATTCCATGATTTAGCGCCACCACGCCCACCACCTCTCGCAGAATGTCGACCACATGGTCCACCTCTTCCCGAATTTCGATCGCGTCCACCGCGAACTGCGACACCCTGACTATGTGCTTGGCCCGAGGTTTTACGTGTTCTTTTTGTTCGTTGTGGAATATCAATCATCAGTGCATCCAAATTCAAATCGTTTGGAAAAATTATGTATCGTATGTTATTTCCTGAAGAAGAAAGGAAAACTCCATGGTCCGAAAAAATCAAACTACCACCTGCCTCATTCACTCCAAAGCTACCTAAGTTAACCGGCCTTTATCCCGAAGCCTAGACAGAAATACTGAATATCTCTGGCAACTGCCAGAATAGTGCTTCTGAGCTTTCTATATCTTTTATAAAATTCAAGCAAATTATCTAAACACTGTAACCTTGTGCACATTTAACCAACCGAAGTTGATAAATTTGTGTATATAACACAAATATTTGAAGAATTTGTTAGTGGTCCTATTTTGTTTCACTTAGTTAATAATTTTCCTACATAATTTAGTGTCATGTAAATCTGACTTGCATTTTAAGCTTTTATACCTATTAGTACCACTCACCATTATCGTTTTTTAATAATCTCTATAGTAAATGTACCTCTAATTGAAACTGCATCCACAGAAGCAGGTTTCTCACTTTTTAACGTCATTGAAACACGGTTTAAATGGAAATTCATTGCTAGATCAACACTGCTAACATAACCCATCACCACCGTACCATTTTTTAGTTCTATTGTGACAAATTTATTACGTAATCTCATCAAAAAATGCATCAACATCATACTGAAATCTGAAATGAAACAGATACAAAGACCACAAAAATTTCTAGTGATCACGTTCCCACGAAAACGCAAAACGTGTGAACTTTTCCTGATTGCAAATTAAAAACAATGGTTCATACTCCATCTTTCATTCATAAACTGTATTTAGGGTTATCTGAAGAATCTATTTTTAGCAGGACAATAGCACTCTCCCCACATCATTCTGTACTTTATTGTATCACGAACAAAATTAAAAGGGAACCATTAATTCGACTGATTGATGGCCATTTTCCTGTAACTTGAAGCATAATTACATTACTTCCGCCTTAGAAGACACATCGTCATGCACACAGCGATTGGAATCTACCCGTTAGTACAGGAGATAACAGACTTTAGCCACCTAAACTTCATTACTGCGAACTACAAAACACTTGCCCTATTAAATCAGAGAGAGAGATCACTGTTATTAAATATGAATGTCCGTCGAATGTTAATGTCAATTGTAACGTAGCATACATCCACAAATATTTTAAAATGGAATGGCTGAGCAGTGGTGATGTCTTCGTGTTTGCTTAACGCCATCCGGAAATATAACTTACTTCTTGACATAACTTTTTCCACCTCCTTATAAGCAAGGAATATATGATCACGTTCGATGTCCTAGGAGCAAACTTTAATAGAGATCATAAAAAGTAACAACAATGGACTGTAAGGATAATAATGCTACATAATGAATCTGAACAATGTGGATAACAAGGATACAAATTTCAAAAAAGTGACAAAAATTCTCAGCTGAAAAGCTTTCCAGCGAAACATAAAATACATTTATATTTCCAGCATATTTCAAAAAATGAAACAATTTTCCAATTTTGAAAAGTATGAGAATAACTTACTCAACTGACGAACAAAACTGAACTACGTGCCTAGCTTCTGCTTACAGCATCATAACATAACTCATAACTGTTCTGCAGCTGACTGGTAATCTATTCCTTTACACAGCCATTAAAAGAAGTGTGAGATAGAGGAACATGAAGTAAATTACTTCTATAATCACTGTAAAATAAACTGCATTATGAAGAGTGATAGTGAAAAAGGATGTAACAATTAATTTCTGTTTCATTCTGTCCGTATAAAATTCAACGCATAAAAGATAAAGCATACATAATAACCGCAAAAATTTATCGCCCACCCCTGAAACCACCACGACCACGAGGCCCACCTCTACCACGGCCGCGTCCTCGTCCACCACGACTCGGCGCAGATCGACCACGTCCTCCACGTGCCGGCTTTTTGCGAGGTTCATCATCAACCAATAATGTATCCAAAGGAATTGTGTCAGGTAAAATTATATACCGGATATTATTTCCTAAAAAAGATCCTTTGATAGTTATTAGTATTGAAAATTAAACCTTTTTTAAATAAGTTCATTAACCAACCAGCTTATCTAGATTACTCTGAATTTATCACAACGCTGAAATTAGATTCCCAGGAACTTATCCATGCTGTATACAGTACAATACTTAACAGAGAGCAGGACACTTAACTCTAAAAAATCATAAATTAACCTCTGATAGATAGTGAATCTAGGGAAACGGGTTCTCTATTCTTGAGTGTCATTTTGACGGTCCGTAAATGGGTATTCATTGCTACGTCGACACCAACAATGGTACCTGTTACCAGCGTTCCATTCTTCAATTCTATTGTTACACTTTCGTGGGCCAGTTTCATCAAAAAACGCACCAGCTTCATACTGCAGTCTGAAAAGATAACAGATGTTAGACAAGCGTAAACACGTAAAGATTTTCGTTATAGTAGAAATTTGGCAGTGATTTAAGAAAACTATTCAATATGGAAATATAATGCATCAACATAATAAACGTGAGAGCAACAAATGAGAGCTAAAAACAAGTCGCCGAAGAGAAATCTGTTTACTGACATAAGATAAACAATAATCAAGAAATACAACTCCAACAAATTGATAAGTTGAATAAAAGTTACACAATAAGTATATGATGAAATTATGTCTAACTGAAAACTGATCCATTCTAGCTGTCAACAAATTACACACAATCTATTCATAGCAAACTACGCATCAGAGTACACTGAATAGTCTTAACACGAAAGTCTAGCAAGATTTCCGATCATAAAATTTTGGACCATAAAATTTCTAAACACTGACATGACAAATTCAGTGCTCTAACACTAGGCTATAGATAAGTTCTAAGGAATCATCGAGCACCAAAAACCTCTCACAACCTTGGGGGACACACCCCACCACCAACCACAATCACGAAATTCAAGACCATGATCATCTACCGTATCCTGCCCTGTTGTTGCATAGAAACAGCTATGAGAAATGCAATGAAATCTCAAATTGACGATTTATAGCTCCCAAACAATATTCCGGATTGATCGTTCGTTCTTACATTTTTCAAAATTTCTGGATATGTATTCAAATACCATTTCCTTTTTCTAGAAAGTTACATATCATGACAGAAGGCTTATATTATAGGAATCTGGTATAAAATATAGTTGGAATAACTGAATCAGATGTTTATTACCATTTAGTTTTATGCTGTAATACAAAGGTGACACTAAATAGAGAGAAAGTACTCTCGGAAGCTACAAAGAAGCTGAGAAAATAATATCACCTTGTTTGGTCAATGAATTCATTCGGATAATTCAGAAGCTGACATTGTCTTTCTCTCTAAACGACACATCTACTATTAACAAAAACCTTCTCTCTCTCTTTCTCTCTCCCTCTCTCTCTCTCGGTAGAGTAATACTCAATGTTTACGTCACTCCTAATCAATTACGTGTCCCCCCACCATCGTATCTAAGTTTACCATTCATCTCGACGACTCATCAGCACTCCTTACGCGATTGGTGTATGCTACGATGACGTATGGTTTGGCACTGGATGGAGTGTATGGGTACACTGACTTAAATGTAGCGATTAGAGTTGTTGCGAGGGGTGTGTTGTGATAGATTAGCAATCGCTCAGTAAATTGCTAATTTCTGGATGGGACACTTTGACCTCTTTTTTCAGTTCTTCATGGGATCTCGAGTTTACGTGGGAAGATTGTCGTATCGAGCGCATGAACGTGATATTGAACGTTTTTTCCGCGGCTATGGTCGCATCACGGAAATTTTACTCAAGAATGGTTACGCTTTCGTTGAATTTTCTGATCGTCGAGATGCAGAAGATGCGGTCCATGATCTGAACGGTCGTTCCTTACTCGGCGATAGGTTTCTTTTTTTTTTGTTGTTGCCTTTGAATATCAAAAGAATTGCAGTTTATTGTTCAGAAAATTATACATTAATAAGTCAGTGAATGCTCGGACACCATAGTCGTTCACTAGATCAGTTCTGTAATATAAATGTAGTAGTTGTTGATTAAGTGTGCTCATTTGGGTATTGAATTTATATCTGATGTTGTGTTATTTCGTGTTATTTTAGGGTAATAGTGCAGAATGCCAAAAGTCGTCCGCGCGGACGGGATATGTATCGAGAACGGATGCGTGAGAGATCGCGTTCGCGAGATCGGAGGCGCAGTCGGAGCCGTGATCGAAAGCGAAGCCATAGCCGTGATCGGAAAAAGAGGTTTAAATTACTAATTTTGAATTATATTACACACACTTTCTCAATTCCTACATTATTTTTTTCTACTATACTTTTTCCTATAAAATTTTCGTAGAACTTCTAACGTTAGAGTATGTTCTTCATAGTAAATATTAAATTCAGGAGCATGACCGAATATCACGTTAGGTTTCTAAAAGCTCCAATAATATAGCTTTAAATTGTCTAATTCCCTCAGAAAATATTAAAGCAGTTTTTGACTGATCTAAATTATTACTTTGAAGAAATTAACATGTAAGAAATAATTTTCAGGGTATCTTCAGACTGCTTCATTTGAATAAAATATAAATGGTTTGTTTGACTTGGGTAAATAAATTTTAGAAGACATTCATCAAGTGAAAGTGAATCTCCTGAAGACAATCGTCGCCGCTCATCATCAAGATCACAGAGTTTAAGTCCGAAAAAAAGCTCCAAGAAGTCGGGTTCTGATAGAAAACGAAAGCGTGACAGAAGTTCATCAAGTCGTTCCCCCAGCCCAGATGCGAGAAAATCTAAGGACAAGCGTAAAGAGCGGAAATATCGGAGCAGTTCAGAAAAGGTGAAATTAAAGCTTTCACTGATATTTCTAATAGAACATAACTTTGTTTCAGACAACGTAGAATCTTATAAAGTTTTTTTATACAGATTTTTACTTTTATAGAGGTTTCAATCATTTTAATAGTAATTCTAATAATCTTTACTTGTTTTATTTGATTTCTGTTATTACAAAAATTATCACTAGTTGATCCTTTAAAATTCTTCCTTGTCGCCACATTCTGAACATTTATAACTAACATACGTTTGGATCATGTTAGATAATATACAATTTATAGCGAAGCCATAGCCATGATCGGAAAAGTTGTACTTGATTTAATTTCATTTAATATGTTCTTTGAAAAAGACTAGCTGATATTGAATACCAACATTTTACATGATTACCAGGATTTTGGGCTTGCAGGAAGGAAGTTTGGATCGTAGCGGTGCAAATGCATGCAGCATCATTGTTCGTGGTTTTGAAAACAAGGGCAAATTTGAGAAGGTTCAGTTAATATTTCATTTTTATATTTTATCTTCCCTCTAGTTCATCATCTGATGAGTTGGAACTTTGATCTATAACAAATCACACTAAACTGGACAGAATTCACTTTTCTTGACAACAGTGGCGCATCTCGCTTTAGTTGATACTATTTGACATGATGCCAGAATTTTAGGCTGGGCCTAGGACATTAATATTGTATGATTTTTCAATGCCCGTTAAGGACTGGAAAATATCTTTACTTGAGACCTACTTCGAGGATTACAAAACCAGTGTAGTTTTCGAGAGTTTAACCAGATTTTTAAAAAAAAAAAAAAAAAGCGTGTAACAGTGTGGTACCACTGTGTTAAGCATTGAAAACAAAATATTCGGATTCAGAAGTTTGATGGGATATGTTTTTATGCGTCACTACTGCTACCAGCGCATCATTGTCCGAGTGGTGCATAAATGTGAATGTTGTGTTACAAACAACTACCGTTCGTTCACGTTCATCCACACAGTTCATGCATTCGTTCGTTCGTTCGTTCGTTCGTATACTCACCGCGCACTCAAATCATCCGGTTCATCCAACCATATCCAAATCTTGCGTGTATCCGTTTTCCATGGCGTGACGTTCGTGCATACATCCGGTCGACAGACTATGCAACCGCCTCATCACGTGGTGCGCTCTGTTCAGGCAACTCGTTCCGTAGCTGCATTGCTCAGCCCTATATTATCGTCCGTAACCATTCATCTGGATTGTTGAGCACACGAAATGCATTATTAGAAATTAGCGGTACGCCGCATTGCTCTTGATTCTGGATTTCGATGGTTCTTTTTAACTTTTCAATTTTTTTCTGAAAATTTTGTCTCAAAATTTTTTAAAATTTGTCCATTATTTCAACAAATTTGTTTTCAGCGTTTAAAGCATATTGCCAAGAAGTATGGCGATCTGACAGATTTTGAAATGCGCGATGACAATACTTGGTATGTTTGATTATTTGGTCCCATAAAAAAGAATTTGATTCTTGCCATTTTGTATTTTTTTTTAAATTACTGCGCAACATGAATGCAGTTAAGAGGGTTAAAGAGTTGTTTGCACATAGAGATTATTGATCTTTTTTTATAGTTTTATTGGTGGTGTAACATCACAATTGTTGATTACTTATCTCTTAACGCACAGGCATTTTTCCGGTCTCATCATACCAGCGTTGCATTCCTAAATGTTGTTTAAAAAATATTAAATTTAAGTAGTAGATGGTTATAACACATTTAGATAAAAGTTAGTATAATTTTTTTCCAAATACATAATTAAGACCACTTGTATTCGAGTTCATAATAATCTTTTATGTTTTCAACTTTTTGTATAATATTCCTTTCGATATCTTTTCTGGTCAAAGAAGTTTAACCCACTTTTTTCCTTCTAATTTTTCCATTGGTAACTGATACAGGAATGAAAGAAGTAGTGTTCAGTATAATTCATTGAGATAACTTAGTTGTTTTATGAGGTATTACGGTTTTGGAATGAAGTATAATACTTTCTTATCGTTAGAAAGGTAATTGTCTTCAGAAAACGGTTAATGATTTAACTCCAACAAAAATATGTATGCATGTATGACGTGCATGCATGTAGTGTCTTAACGGTTGGTTAAGTAATCGATTGATCCATTTTGTTTCTATGCAGTGTCCTTGAAATCCACATCCACTGTTGTGAAGACCTTAATGTTTTAATGACCACCATCGAGGGTCTTAGATTTTTGAATTAACGTTTGAATAATTTTTTTTTTAACAGTGAACCGCACAAAAAGACACGGAGTAGGGATAATAATAATGAAACGTACATTTGAAACCAGTCATCTTAAACTTTAGAATGAGGATGTTTATTCAGTGTAAAAAATGTTCTCTATAATTGGTATGGCGCAAAAATCATTTTGAGTAAGCTAGAGGAAAAATTATTTGGATCAGCCGTAATTTGTCACTCACCTAAAACTTTCATATATCTATTTTAAAAAAATTTTATCTTTATCACTTCGAATATGGCAGTGAATGATTGAAGCAAATTCCGGATTAAGGACTGCAATCCAAAGGTTTTTTTTTTTTTTGAAAATTAATGATA